GATGTTTAAACCCATGCGACATCCTCTGGTTTTGTTCAAACTACTGCCTCCTGGCCTCGGGAGTCTCAGACCCCGCAGGAGCCGAAGGAAGTGATCTGAAACTCCCGTTCTTCACAATGTTATCCATAGTTTGTTAGGACCCCCACGGTCGATGCATGGTCAATGAACAAAGTAAACGTGTCTATTTTTTAAGATGTTGACTGTGCATTAGGTGATCGTTTCTAAGGAGGATGCTCAGTGATTGATGCACGTTGTGTTCTCGCCCATCCTCTCACCATGCCCTCACTCATCCCGCTTCCTCACCGTGCTCCCGTTTCCATTCCTCCTCCTTGCCGAACCCTCGGAACTTCGCCGCTGGGTAAATGCTGTGCTTCGGATTTTAAGTGGTTGATTATTCTAGCATGCAGGTGAGTTCAGGTCCAGGCCTAAAGAGTGACAAAGGGCCAGAGTCTTAGGAATCCCACCGGGCTCTGTCCAATCAGCAAGACTGGCTTCTATGAATCGGAATTCCGTTCCGTATTTTTCACCCAATCTACCCAGGACCGCCTAATGTGATACTTTTCGGAGCAGGTGAACATGGCAGCCAGGCACCATCTAGCTCATCTGGTCTCAAAGTTTAGAGTCTGATGTCTGTGTGGTCCATTAGTTCATTGGATTAATTATTTCCATACGTCTTTTGTTTTTCATTGCTCTTCTTTCCTCCAGATGTGGAGAGACCAACAGTTGGACCTTAGATAGCTGCTCATGAACTTCTAAGACCCCGGTTGCTACTCGCCCATGTGCCTTTATGCCAATTGAGGAGGTAGCCCTTCTCCAGTTGTATTTTCAGTGCCTTCTAACCTAAGCGGTTCATCATATAACACATATCATAATGTCTCCCTGCTATCCATAGGGTTTCAGTGGTTAATCCCTCAGAAGTGGACAGCATATTCCTTCTTCCTAGTATGTTCTTGTGGTGTGGTAGCTACAGGTTGGGCCATTAACTGTAAGGTCCACAGTTCAAAACCGCCAGCCAGTCCACAGGTGAAAAACGGGACTTTCTACTCCCACAAAGAATCAAAGTGTTGGAAACCCACAGGGACAGCTCTACCCTATCCTGTAGGGTCGCTTTGAGTCAAACTCAACTGATGGCCGTGAGTTTGAGTTTCGAGAATGTTCGTAGTCTGGATGCTCCTCTGAAACCTGTTCACCACGGCTGGGCCTGCTGATATTTAAAATACTGGTGACATAATTCAACACCACAGAAACATGCCAGCCAATATTAGACATTAGTAGGCAAAGCAGAATCTAGTAGCATTTCTACTACGCATAAAAGATTCTTCCCCCCTCCAGTGTTTCACATAACTCTTGGGCTTTCTTCATTTTTCTTCATTCTTGTTTTCCTGGTTACTCCTCAACAAAATGAGTAGGAAGGGATTTGTCTCTCTTTCACTGATTCTTTTATTGCTTCAGTTCTACTTCTATGTCCTCCTACGTGAGCTATCAGTTCATGATATTTTATTGTTAATTTTTTAGATTTCCCATCGCTTTTTATGGGTTTGGGTGTTTACTTTGTTTTTCAAGTCTTCGTTGTCAGGGATCATTGCAGTGTGTATATCTAGGGCTGTTTATCCATGGTGTTGACCTTTAATCAACCTCAGCCAGCAAGTCATCCAAGGTGACCAATGTGTCATCCAGGCTGGTCAGCACTTTCGGAACGTGCAAGAAAGGAATGGGGCTGACACATGAAACCCTCCACTGGTTTCCCAGACCCCCAGGGAAGGACCTACCTTCATAGCATCCCTGAGGGCCTGGGGTCTTCTTCCCATCTGACTCTAGCCGGCGGTTGCCTCCACTCTCCACCCACTCTGTTCTCCCTTATTTGCTGGCTTATTGATACTGTGGCGAACCCACTGCATTTGAGCCAATTCTGACTCAGAGCGAGTCAGATGGAGGACGTACCCCATAGGCTTCCTAAGGCTGTGGTCTTGACAGAAGTAGACTGCTACCCCTTTCTCCCACAGAGTAACTAGTGGGTTCAAAGTGTTGACCTGTTGGTTAAAAGCTGAGTGTTTAGCCAATGCACCATCGGGGGTCCTTGCACTTTACGAAACACTCACAAACCGCTCACTCACTCATACACTAGAACGTGACCATTAACATGAACGTACCTCTGCGTGGCTCCCCTCCCCACCCATAACTTTTCCTTGCTTACGGAGCCCTGGTAACCGAGCGGCTTACATGTTGGCCTGAGAACCACCAGGTCAGCACTTCAACATTACCAGCCGCTCCGAGGGAGAAAAGTGAGGCTTTTACTCCCATGGAGAGGCACAGCCTCGGAACCCCCAGGGGCAGTTCCACTCTGCCCGAGAGAGTCACCGTGAGTCAGAATTGACTCGATGGGAGTGAATTTGGTTTGTTTGTTTGTTTCCCTTGCTTAAAAACATTATTTTTCCCTTCGACACCTCGTGGTTGCATAGGCTGGTGTGCTTCTTCCATGTGGGCTTTGTTGCTTCTGAGCTTGATGGCCGCTCATCAGAACAAAAAATCTTACCATAGTGAATGATGGGGGGAGTGCGGAGTGGAGATCCAAAGCCCATTAGTAGGCCACTGGAGATCCCCTTGCAGAGGGGTCTCGGGGAGGAGACGAGCCAGTCAGGGTGCGATGTAACAACGATGAGAAATACAACTTTCCTCTAGTTCCTAAATGTTTCCTCCCCGCTCCCACTACCATGACTCGAATTCGACCTTGCAAGTCTGGCTAGACCAGAGGGGGTACACTGGTATAGATAGGAACTGAAAATACAGGGAATCCAGGGTGGATGAGCCCTACAGGACCAGTGGTGTGAGTGGCAAAACAGGGAGGGTAAAGGGAGCATGGGTAGGAAAGAGGGAACCGATTACAAGGAACTATATGTGACCTCCTCCCTGGGGGACAGACAACCGAAAAGTGGGTGAAGGGAGACTTTGGACAGGGCAAGATATGACGAAATACCAATTTATAAACTATCAAGGGCTCATGAGGGAGGGGGAACCAGGGAGGGAGGGAGGGGAAAAATGAGGACCTAATGTCGGGGGTTTAAGAGGTGAGGAAATGTTTTGAGAATGATGTACAAATGCACTTTATACAATTGATGTGTGTATGGATTGCGATAAGAGTTGTATGAGCCCCTAATAAAATGTTTTAAAAAAAATAATTTTAAAAATTGCATTATTGTCAGCAAAATTTGAAGGAAAAAAAACCACATTTTTTTTCAACCAATGTAGGGGTTTACACATGCATGTTATTTGGCTTTGCTTTTCAATGTTCTAAAACATACACCACAGTGCATGCCGTGTTCTGAAAGAATGTTTCGCTCAGACTAATCGCTGGGGCCTTTGGTTTTCTTCATTCTTTGCTCGGGATGGAAAGAGGTCAGTAGCTGCGTCTTAGAATGCCCCTTGCATGTTTGAAGACCTGTCTATGTGCCCTCTCATGCCAGGTGACCTAGATGTCCCCTGAGAACAGTGTCTTAAGCCCCCAAGCGCAGTCACTCAATTCCTTTCATGTGTATGGCTAGGAAGTTTGCATAACCACCCCGTAGGGCCTACTACCTACTGAGATATGTTTGCTGCACATACAGGGACATATGTTGAAATAGCTTCCACTAAAGCTGTACGTGGGGAGCCCTGGCGGCGTAGCAGTGATGCCGTGTGCTACCATCTGTGGCACGGTTGGCAGTTTGAAACCAGCAACCATTCGAGGGAGACAGACGGGGTTTTCTACTCCCATAAACAGTTATAGTCTGGGAAACTCCAAGTGGCAGTTCTACCCTGTCCTGTGGGGTCACTATGAGTCACATCAATGGTATGTCAGTGAGAGAGAGAGAGAAATCTATACCTGGTCATGGAGTGTCATGTGTTGGGCAACTAGTCGCAAGGTCAGTAGTTAGAAACCACCAGCTGCTCCTCAGGAGAAAGACAGGCTTTCTACTCCCATAGGAAGGAGTTCATCTCAGAAACTCACATGGCAGTTCTACCCCGTCCTGCAGGTTCTCTCTGAGTGGGCATCGCATAGATGGCAGCGGGTTTGGCTTTGGTTTTAAACCCCAGACCAGCCTGTGGGTTGAGTCTCATACACTACTTACTCCACACCTGCTTAGCCTACATATCCACCTGGGTGCCCACTGGTGGGTGGACCTTCTTACACAAGCCTCTGGCTGCCCCAGGCAGATTGCTTAAGTATGCACTCATGTGCAGGGGATTTCCTATGTCCCCTGTCCTCTCCTCTTCCTTCCCCTTTTCAGTGGGATCTCATTCAGGATGTCTCCACCTGGGCTGCCCTCTCCACTTCACCCCCTTCCACCCCACTCCTCAGAGAATCCTCTCCCCCCACCCACCCCTGCAGGCTGAGGCCGGTGGTGTGATTGGGGGGCCATCCAGTCAATCCCGACCCTGTAAGACAAGGTGGAGAACTCTACGTAGGGTTTCCTAAACTGCAGTCCTTACAGGAGCTGAGGGTCAGGGCTTCTCTCTCCGGGTTCAAAGGGTCCAGCTTTCGATCAGCGGCCCAGCGTTCAACCGTCCTGCCACCAGGACTGCGAGGTCCCCGTTCCCGCCCCTTTAATTGACATGGCTGCTGTGTGATTTTCGGACGTCTCTCAGGCCCAGGACAAGCAAAGACCGCCCAGTGCGCGGGGCTCTCCGGGTGCCCAGCTCGGGGCTGGCACCCCGTAGACGCCCAGACAGCATCGGGCACGGGGAGGCGGCTCCCCAGGGGTCGGGAAAGAAGCAACGCGAGCCTGAGTCCTCTGGTGGGGCCCAGGCAGCCGTCGCGGGGCCCCGGGACCGCGGGCCGGTCACCGCTGCTGGGCAGCAATTCCAGGAAATGCGCCGCCCGGTAGGCGGGGCGGGCCCGGGGCTGGAGGCGGGGCCAGTGAAGCTGGGCTCCGGCGGGGCGGGCCCGGGGGCGGGGCGGCGGCGGCCCCGGCCCGGTTAAGAGCAGCGTGGCGGGCCACGGCCACTGCGAACCCGCGGGGAAGCGGACCAGCAGCGATCGCAGCCCAGGCGCACCGGCCTTGCAGACAGGAAGCGCGCCGGAGCGCACGATTGGCACCATGACCCAGACGCCCGCCTTCAACTTGCCCAAAGTGAGCGCTTGGGGGCTTGCGATCCCGGGTCCAGGGGCCTCTAACGACTTACTGGGCGGGCGGGAGGGCGGGGAGATTGGCAGGTGCCGATCCAGACCACCACACCCCTGAAGCGACTCCTGGGGGGCGCTCCGCAGATGCTTTCTTCCCTTGATTCCGGCGCTCACCCTCGTGCGGGCTGGTAAATGTGGGACAACGAAGCAGGGAGGGTCCACAGCCCGGAGGTGCTCCGGAGTTGGCCTCCAGTTCTGGTCCTGCCCTGAACTGGGGCTCTCTGGGGGTCAGATTCAACGTGTGCCAATTGGGCATCCCCGCACGGCCCGCTCGGGACAGCGGTTAGAGTCAGAGCTGGCGGCTATCCTGTCTGATCCTCTGCGGCAACACAGGGCCCCCATGCCTGTGCCTGCTCTGAGGAGGGAAGCAGCTCACACCCCAACATCAGAATGAAATCAGTAAGCGCCAGGAAGCCCAGGTTTGCCGTGCACGGTTGGGAGCAGATGGCTGGGCCCTGGCAGGGCTCACCCTGGGTGACACGATGGCCCCTGGATCCCAGGGAGGCCCCATTCGCCCCTCCTCCCTAGCTGTGGTGTCTTAGGAAACTGTGGGATCAGATAGGGCCCAGGTGCACACGGCCAGCTTGGGAGCAGCCTGAGGAATCCAGCCCAAGCAGGGTAGCCCCCAGGAGTGAAAGCACTGGGAATCCACCTAGAGGGTTGGAAGTGTGGGGAAGAGTGGGGTGTAAGCTGCCTTAGGCCTCCACTGACCCTTCTGAGAAACAGGTGTGTGTGAGGGATGACAGGCAGCTCAGGTGCTGATAACTAACAAGAGGAGGGGGACTTGGCCTGCCCCACTGCCAAAGCCTGCCCAGGTCAGCCGCTGAGCGGAAGCTGTGGCCAGGC